CACAATACATATTGTTGTGTTTTGTGGCAATCAAACAAAATATCAACAAAACATTTTCAACTGTTAAGCATGATGGAGAAGGGATTATTGGTCTTCAACAGCCACAAGCCCTGGGCATTTTGAAGTAGTTCTGTTGACCATGAAATCTTCTGTAAACCCAAACCGAGAGAGGCCAGCCGAGTCTGGGTGAACGGATCAGACGGCATCTGCAGCCATTTTCAGAGGATCCACTGTGGGATGGACTTTTACAAGAGATCCTTCCTGTCTACAGCCATCAGCATCTATAACATCTCTTAATGAAGCAAGGATAATGAGTTACAACAACAAATAATTTCCCTTTGGGATTAACAAAGTATTTTTGAATTGAATCTGAAGTAATTTCAAGATAAGTTAAATTCCATCTGACTGTCAGATTAAGCTTGATCCATATTTTTCAATTTAACCATAATTCCAAGTTCATCAGCAAATTCACAAAAGAATATATCAAAAAACAAAAGAATCACGATATTGTAACGGCTTGGCTACAACCTGATGGACATCAACTACAGTAGTCCCTCGTTTATCACGGGGGTTACGTTCCACACACCCCTGCGACAGGTGAAAAACCAGAAGCAGCAACACTATTATTTATTTATTTTAGTACAGTAATCCCTCCTACTTCGTGGTTATCTATTGCAGTTTTTCAACATAAGATTGGACACGCAATTGACTGATTGATGGATGAGCCGCATGATTGGCGTGAAATTTTTATTTACAATAAATTATTTTAAATGATTTAGCACCTGATGCCCATTTGTGCAGCCCACAGCTGCAGATTTGTGTGTTCATCTGATATTTTCTCAAATGCACTCTCTCAAACACAAAACATTTTTATAAACTACTAAAGTCTTCATACTAGCTTTTAGTTTTATTTGCTCTGTGTTTTGAACTCAAAGATTTGTATTTTTTATTTATTTTTGAAGTTGTACTCTCCCACCACATAATATCCCATTTGAACACTGTGAAAGATAAACACTTTGTAGAACATAATTTCCTCTCTTGCTATGCAAAGAGAAACTCATCGTAACATCGTTTACAATACAAACATGTGCAGTGTTACATCTGAGGATTGATTTTGTTAAGATTTATTTTTCTCATGTGCTTGCATATTCTCTTTGATTTAAAAAGAAAATGCAAGCAGCATGACATGTTTTTACATTATCTTATAGCAAAGATGCTAAATCAATTTGTATGAAAAAGAACCTTGTGTACTCGCCTACCTTTTTAAATCCTGGACAATGTGTTTACAAACAGAACATGAGCGTGCTGGCACTCTTTCTGTGGATACAAAAAAAAAAATCTTCTCCCTGGTTTAAATATTTTTAAATGATGCTTACTCTGTGCACAGCTCTTCTGCTTTTTATATCCTGCCACTTACTTAGCTGTGAATAGCAGGGCCTTGCAGTGTCTGATAATGAATTAGGTGTTGAAACTGTGCAGGCGAGACCATGTCGACGCAAATACTGTAGTCTGGAGTTGCTCATAGGTCATAGTGTCAGTGTGTTTGAGTGTGAGTTGTTCAGTAGCTGTAAAAATAGTTTGGTCATGTACTCTAATGAGATCATTCTCAGACTTCTTTTGTTTTTTTTCAATGGATTTTTTTGATCCTTTATTCTTGAGCAAAATCCAAAAGAACTTGGTTATCTGAATCTGAGTGAAGTTCAACTGAACCTGATCCAGAACTAAAATGCAAGTTCAAGTAAGAAGAAACAAAAACATGTATATACTTTTTAGACGGTTAGGTGATAGTCATTCGTCATATATTGAAAAAGTATTGTTGAAGTTACAGGATAAAGCTAAAAGGTGAATTTGGTTGAAGGTTTCAGCACAGGACTTTATTGGTCCCCTGATACCGGTCCGATCTCGGCTCCAAGGTTCCGTCATTAGCACTTGTCAGTTGTCAGCTTTTCACCATACCACAGAGATCCTTGGCACGTGACCAGAAGTTGTCAGGAGTCAGATGCTGTTTCATCATGGTCACAAACAATGGCCCTCGGACATCCCAAAGTCTAAAGCTTAGATGCTTCAAGTCTTACTTCTCATCGGACCCATTTGTGCTCATGTAAATGAGATTGTTACATCACCACTCCCTTATCAGTATAGTGAAAGTATATCCAGATGATGTTGAGCCATGATCTGTTTGTATTTAGTTTTGTTGCTTTAGTTTTGTACTCAAAATATTATGTAACATCTTTAAGGACAGAGGGCTCGATTAAGTTGGAGGCCTAGCCACAAGTACCATCAGTCGGTCTGTGAAGGTAAAGACTGTTTGCTCTCCGAGTCATTGACTGAAGTTGGAATTTAACAGAAAAAGTTATTAGTGTCTGTAGTAATTAGTGTTGTTTAGACTATCTGCTTTTGATGTGGAAAGCACCACTCTGGAAATTCCTAATGGAACTGTGAAGCCAGGAGTTGACGAGTTTCCCTTTTCTTTTTTTTTGTTACCAGCAAACTTTTCTTGGACCTCCCTGTGCTGCAGATTTATTCTGCTGCCTGCTTCTGAAGGGAGAGGGATAATGATTTTGTCCATGCGTGTGGTGTTTGCGTGTTTTTGTTTGTATTGTTAATATCTTATTATTACCTTATGAACCAATGAATTTCTTTGAAAATGATCACTGGATGAATGTTTATAACATTATTTCCTTCTGAAGTTAATCCAATTCAAGATGGCCACCACAGCAAAGCGACCCTAGAAATCAGAAAAAATACAACTAACCCAATATCTGTTAAACTGGCTGTAACGGCTAGTTTTACTGTAAAACTATATTGAGTTGAAATATATTGTGGTAGTATCTGAGAGATGTTCTCAACACGTACCGAAACATTACACATTATGTCACATCTTTGCTTAAAACTTTGACTTTAACATTTACAGTCAGGTCTGTTGGCAAATTCTCATGAACCATTGAACAAATTTGAATGAAACGTTTGAAGACAATCGTTGGATGTACCTCTACAACTAATTACAGTTTGGAATAAACCCATATCAAGATGGCTGCCACAGCTAGTATACCTTTTCAACACAAAAATGAATACAACGTAAAATTATCGGTAAAGAGGTAAAGTGCATGTGGTCGTAACACAGAGTCGCCCTCAACATGTACTCGGAGCATTATCACATCTCGTGAGATGTGCTTGTGGTGGCCATCTTGAATTAATTCTTTGTCATGAAAGGTGGTAGGCAGTATACATTCCTTGAAGGAATGCTAAATCTTTATTTGTTGGATATGAGTTAAAAGGGTGGATGATGTCCAAATAGCATTTTGCACAGTAGCTGTCTTGTTGGTTTTAGGTATCCAGGCTCTAACTAAGCATGAGATGCTAATAGCAGTTGTTACATCACCATTCTGGGAATAGCAGGAGTCTGTGGTCTAGAGGTGCTTCAAGCCGACCTCCCTCTGTGTATATTCAGCCTGTGAATGTATGCGTGTGGTCATTTCCAAATATACATTCCTATATGAATTACAGAGCAGGATGATTATTTTTTACTGACGCAGGTTAGTCATAATCCTTATTTATTTATATTTATTTTACATGATGTCACTGATTATTAAAAAAATAAAAAATAAAAATAAAAAAGTGCCACCATTTATGGGAATTCACTCGAGAGACTCCTCTTGACTGGCAGTCTAAATATCGACTGCATAAAGTGAAATAAATACTCATGTGAGAACAGTTTGACGTTTCTGTCAGCTTCTGTGTAGAGAAGGCCACTTTACATCCGGACATTGAGTGACATTAAAACCCAGGAGAGGGAGAAAAGAGAGGCATAGAAAGCTTCTAAACATGCATCCATTGCTTTCTGCTGCTTGTCGACAGTATCCCTACACCTGATGAAATACCACAGAATGAAATGTGTGGGGTTACATTGTTCTTTATGTGATTCAGTGCTTCAGGAAAGTGTCTTTGGGTGCATTCATATGAATACACAGTGAGGTATGCATGCACAATGACGTGTGTGAAGGGTAAAACAGAGATAGTGAATCCTGTCACTTTGCCCACACCCATCTAAACCGAAGGGGGGGTAACTTTCCAGTCTCATAGCCGAGCATGCCTGAGTCTGAAAATAGCTGTATCTGATCAGTGGTTCGCCCAAACAGGGAACTCTCCTTCCATGTCACTCCCTCTCCAACTTTCTCCTCTGTTGTCTCTGTGCTTCCCAGGCATTGAACGAGGTGGGATCAGGGAGTAAAAGAGGAGACCAGGAGGAGACACTGGTCTGAAGCAGAGGGAAGAAGGAAAAACTACAGAAAGAAGCAACAAAAATAAGGAATTGGAACTCGCGTCATCCTGTTTTGACCTTCATAGCAAGTTTCCAGACTTTAGTTTTTATGACGGTAAGCGTTACAGTTTTGTTTGTTTGTTTGATGGAGTTTTGCACCTACAACTGCGTTCTTACAGAGGAGCCATGGTTTTACACTTAAATACAGCAAAACATGTCTCTACAGAAAAAAATTGTTGGTGCTTATGTCTATTTTAATACCCAAACATAGCCGAAAAATAATTTTAGATTATGCTTTTAAGATTCAGGATTAAGCTCAAAAGTTTGTTTTGCATTAAATGCTATACATTAAATTGACTCATTCAATTCATTCAAATAGTACACAAAGTATTTTTAATAATATTTTCAGCCCATTTTTAATAGATTTTACTTGTGTCTTTTGAACACATTGATATTATAATGTTGTCTGCCAAGTTGTCATGTGTCTGTATTTACTTGTTAGGAACACAGTGCTTGCAATTAAGAGATCTGAATATATTTTGTAACGTATACACCAGAAGAGAAAAGGAACTGGCTTCTCTGCCAAAGCCCCAGTTACAGACTAAGCATAGAATTTTTATCTTTTGTGACAGCTGACAGGGTAAAGTTGTTAAAAACACAGCTTTCTCCCGCAGTCACCTCAGAAATAGCAGCAAATAACTTGGATTGTAATTTGCAAAGCTGGAAGCATTATAAAGTTTTGTGAATGGCTCCTCCTTTTTTAGTTTTGCTATTTGAAGTTAAAAAAAATTCTAGTTCATCCTCCTTCAGACCTTTCCTGGCCTCGTTCCTTTAACCCCTTACCTGCCCCTGATGCTGCTTTAGAATCTCATTTCTCTCCTCTCACTTTTACATACTTCCATCTCTTGTTACACTCCTTTTCATCCTCTCCTGTTTCCCATACAACAAAAGCCACGCACCAATCCCTCCATTAGGCAGGTCTCAGAGGTGTTTAGGAATGTCACCTTGACCCCTCGGGAACATGGTAAGGGCTGGTTCTCAGACTCAACCCACAGCGCGACCGTGCGGTTCACTTTCGCTTGGATCTCGCATTTTGAGAGGCACTTTGCATTATTTAAACATTGCAAAAATCTCAACAGTGCATCTTGAAAAGGGGTTTTAGGAACATGAGATAAAGATGGGGGAATGCCTGAATAGATCAGTATTACCTGTCTCTACAGGGCAGAGTACATTAGAGACTGAGGTTTTCACACATGTTAATTTATTTACAAATCAGAACTAGTTCACATAGTATTTAAAATCGAACAGGCAATTCATGAACCCTGTTCCTGCTCCCAGCAGTAAAACAGAAGCACATACACATTACAACGTTGCTTTTACAGCAAACCTTTTGTCTTCATTGACAGCCTGCCAAAACAGAACGTCATCTTGTAGAAATAGTTTTTAAATTGAGTTAGAATGTTTCCATATTTCTTTGCCATCATGTTGAATTTCAGAAAAGACAAGTGTCAAGATAGAAATAGTTCAAGTTGCCCTAAAATTATATCACATGAAGATTGAACTGATTTGAAGGTTCTGGTTCACCGAAGAGGTTGAAGGGTCCTGTCTAATGGTGGTAAAAATAACACTTTTGCTAATCAACTTCTTATCTCATGCTCTGCACTTAACATTTGTACTGGGGCAATTCAGACTGTGCAGGGGGAATTTAATCCAAGCCCCACCTGATAGCTACTCTGTTTTATTTGCCTCAAACAAAACCAATTTTATTTACCGGTACTTTCTTTGCTGCATTTGTAAAAATGAGTAATTTGGTAGTGAACGTGTTTCTAGTGAGCTGTGAATAGGTTGGTAATTTTAGTTGATCCTTTTTGTAAACATTGCATCTTCACAATTCAGTGTTTCCCCTAGTTAGCTTGCCATGGCGGGGTGCTCATCTCATCCATGATTTTTGTTGATGGGAGGGATGGAGACATGTCTTGAGTGCAGCTTGTACTGTAATGGTTATGTGAAATCAAGGTTTTGGGGTGCCAGCCAGGTCTCTCTCCTGACATATAAGAGGTTTAATGTTATATGTTTACCCTTGAACACAAAACCCACACAAAGGATGTAAAACACAGAAGTGATTAACACCCTCAACATTAAATGGAAAAAACCCAAGAACCACAAAACGCCCTCGGGGGGTGGCGTTCAGCCTGAGGGAAGAGGCGCCTTTAGCTTTTTAGCTACAGCGCCTGTATTTCGCTTAGTGCTATGTCAGTGCTGGGTGGGGGGTGGGGGGTGCAAGTTTGGTTTGGTAGACGGGGTGCTCAGTTCTTTTGATGGGTTGGGACACCCCGCTTGTATAATGGTAGGGGAAACACTGCAATTAATGTCTTTGCTGATGTTTATTTATCTCATTCATCCTCCATATGAATAACATCCTGAGTTTTCATGTACAAGGTAAACAATTGTTAAAATGGTTTATATTATCATGGTAAAGAATATGAGTTGATTTTGTCAGTGAAAATATTTATCCATAAAAGTTCTTATGTCTCAACTTTTTATTTAAAGTATTTTGCACATTATGTGCATTCTTTGTTGCCTTTTATCTGTGATAATGTTAGTAACTGTTCTAGCTGGTAGTTATGACATATAGCTCTCATATATTCCTGCTGTTTGGCAGTGAAGTGCTCAGGAAGCCCATTATCCTCAGAACACTCCACAAGGACTTAATTTGTTGTTTTTATGAAGCCACTGCGTCCTATGTGGGCATATGGATTGTGGAAAGATTTGTTCTCTCTTTGAGATTTAACACCGTTTTTCAAACTGAAGGCGTTTCATTTCAGAAAGCTGATGTGGCTCAGTAGAGCTGCTGCCTCTCAGTGAGAAGGTTGCCGGTTCAAATCCCGGCCCTGGACCTTTCTGGGTGGAGTTTGCACGTTCTCTCCGTGCATGTGTGGGTTTTCAAAATGAATTCAAAATAGCAGCACAGCTGTAAAACCATGTTGTAATGCCAAGTCTTGGTAAGATTAAGCTTGATGTTAGAAACAGTTTTGCATTTCTTTCCATGTGATATGACCCATCTGTACTAGCTGGTTAAAAGATGTAGTAATTATTCTGTAATGAAGAGATTTATATGTAGTACAGTCATTTTCAAGAAGTAACCCATCCTCTCTCTTGTGTTGCACACTTGTGATACTGTGAACCCACGTATCTTTGACAGATAATTTCATTTGATGTGGTGGTAGCAGTAGCAGACAGTCAACCCCAACTGAGTTCCAACCGCTTAAAATTTTACCATTAACTATTTGGAGTCAACTCTTTGCATCATTTAGCAAAATATCTCATAAACCCAAAAACAGATATTATTATTTTTTTACAATCACTGGATGCACAGCTGATTAAAAACTGATTAGTTTTTAGAGTTGTACCAGTTTAAGTTGGCTGCTATACCGCTAATCAAATTAGCTAAAGTACAAATGCCTGCAACTCAGTCAGTATTACACATATTGAGGTTCCATTTGATAATAGATGAGTCATTCACAACAAATACTCTGATGGTATAACTTTTTTTTTTTTTTAAGGCTTGACCAAAATAGCTTGAACTGTCATTGCTAAGGCGTTGTTTATATGACCCGGATTTTGAGTGAAATTGTAGCTTTTCTGCAGCAGAACAACCAAAACCAATAGCTGAAAGCAAAATTCTGTTAGTGCTGTTCAACGTGAAGAAGTTCAACCTCATCCTCAGTCCAAACAAAGGTTCCTGCATTCACCATTTTGGATGTGACTGATTTGTTACTCGTGCTGCGACTGCATGTCCAACCCCATATCAACGTTGCCAGATATGCGATAAATACACTTTTTAGCCACCCTCTTTTTCAGTGCATATTCATTCAGCCTTTATTTATACAGGTTGATCCCATTGAGCCTCGGGGACTCATTTACAAGAGAGACCTGATTTGAACAAAGAATGATGACAACAAAGACAATAATAGACTATCATAAAGGATGCGTACAAATTGAGATTTTTTATTTATTTATTTTTTTTGCCATCTACAACTAGTATGCCAATTACAACACACACCTCATTCTACAATCTTCCCTCTCTGAGAAAGAGCACCTTACTTAACTTATGGTAGTTTGTGTCAAATTGCAATCATTTTACAGTGGCAGTATGAAATTTTGTCATTTTCTATGACCTGAAAACCACAGTGGATTCATGTATTTTATTTTATTATTTTATGTTGATTTGCCACAATAAACAGAAAAAAACACCAACATTTCCAGATCTTATGCTCTTGTAAATGGGGCCTAAGCATAAGATATTTTTTGTCTAAAACTCTGACATAAAAGGCTTCAAGTGAAGTGCATTATTTTAAAGAATGTTAGGTCCTAGTTATTTTTATTGATTTGATTTTTCTTGTCTCTTTTTGAACATCAAAACAGTACAAACCAAATTCATGCTGAACTGTATAGTGGAGTATAAGCTAACAAACTCACACACTGTCACATCCTATTCAATGTTCATCCTCATAGCCCTGACTCACAGCCAGAAGAATTGTGTTACATAATTGCATTAGTGCTCTCAGGCCAGTGGTTCTGCTCGTTAGTGGAGTTGTGATGCAATCTGAAGAACACACGGCTCTCTGTTATTTGCAGTATGGCCAGTGAGTGCACATGCAGGGTCAGCATGTTGACCTCACATATTCATTCATACAGCCACAGGGGGGTCTGCTAATGAGTAGCAAGGTTGAACAAACAAGACTGATAACAGAGAGTTTGTTGGAGGTGGCTGTTGTTCAACTAGTGGCAGTAATGCACTGGTAGAACAGTTACATGGTGCTCATAAAGCATTCCTTGTTGGAATTTAAAAAAAAAAGCCCTGCATCTAACAACAGGTAGCTTTGTATTTGTGTGAATGATATTCTTAAAACTTTGAGTCAAGGTCCTTTTGATACTTTTGCTAGCATACATGTAACAATTACGCTCATCTTTTTAATTTGGTTTGGCTGATTTTTACCATATTTCTGACTTGCTCAAGTGTGAAGCAGTGTAGATGTCGCAATCCAATGGAGGCCAGGAGTTTCTAAAACTGTGTTACAAAACTAAAGAAACCTGCTCATTTTTTTTTTTGTA